GATTCGGTCGATTCCCGATCCAGATCGCCAATTCACCGATCCGGATGGGTTTTTAGGGTACCTGATCTGGGGCACCGATCCGTTTTTTAAATCACTGGTATCACTGATACCCGATTTAGATCGCCCGATTCTGGATCAGATTGGCGATTTTTAAACCACTGCTCTAAACAATCAAATTAGAGCGCACCTTCAAATAATGTCTAGAAATATGGTTTAAATACTGGAAATCTTTATGATAGCTTTAAAATATAATTTCATCTTCAATTATAAAATTTAAAGCTTCTAAAATACTATAGATCAGGTAGATCTATGAAAATCTTGAAAATTGACAGTCCAAAATATGTGTTACAATATGCACTATTTCCAAAATTTGAAATCCATTTTTTTTCTCATGTCCAACATCTTGATCTTGAGATGGTCAATCTGAGGATATTGGGGCATCAAAATAAGCTCTTCTAATGAAATTTTTGAGGTGGGCTCTAATTTGATTGTTTAGAGTCTAGGCTCTATATAAACTTTTATCTATACTATAACACAATACTATTTATATCATATGATAAAATAATATAATATAACACATGAGACGACCAAAAGTACTTTCCTTTTTTTTTGTCTTTTTTTTTTCATGAGATGACCAAAAGTCACTTGGAAGCTATTATGTGGACCGAAAGAAAGACTCGTGTGATATGGCCAAAATATATAATTCATTTTTTTTTCTCTTTTGTCACTTTTGTTTCTTCTCTTCACTGCCTAGATCACTCGTAAGTAATCTTTTACAACATAATGACTTCAAATAAAATAAAATAAAAGAGCACAATAAGATCTCAAAAACTGGAAGCCATTCAAACATCACTTTTTATTAATAAAGAAAAGACACAACCTATCCTTGAGAATGAATAAAGTAATAAATAAATAAGCAAGAAACAAAAGATGGTGCCAGAGATTAAATCAATCAAGCTTGTTACACTCCACACCAAGTCACCATTTTCTAATGGCGCCAGATCTAATGGTCAACCTTCAATCTGAACCGAGAAAGAATTTTTAGACAAAGCACACCAATGAAACATGAACCCATTTGATCACAAACCAAGCTTTAGGTGAACCCATTTGATAACCTAGTTTGAGAGATTGCTTCTCTTTCTATCGAACCCTAAAAGCCTAACCCAAATGTGAGATGAAAGATAGAAGAGATGAGACTACCATGAGAGAGAGATTAAAAAATGAGAAAGTGGGGCATGTCCCTTTTGGCTATCTTGAGGGAGAGAAAACATTATTAGATGGGAGAGAGAGAAATTGGCTAGCTTTTTTACTATCTTGAGGGAGAGAGAAACTTTCTTAGATGGGAGAGAGAAAGAGAAATTGGCTTGAGTGGGGTGTGTCCCCCTATGAGAGTTGTGAAAGAGATATAAAGTTGTGGGTGTAGAGATTTGGGTAGGGGATAACCCATTTTTATAGTGCTTGAACAAATTTAAGATTTTTCTTGGCTTGCCATTCATGTGAGATTGAATATGCACCATTGATCTTGGGTAACTTGTGGGGTGACAGATATGAGTCGTCCATTGCATAGATGTGCCATCAACATCCTATAGAAGATGCTAGAACTATTATCCCTTGGTTCCTAAATCCTTTTTCCATCAATTAATTTAAATAAAAAAATAATATATGATAATATTATCCTTTCTAATTTTATGCTCAAGCCTTTTCACATATACTAAAAATTTGATTCAAAATCTCTACAAAGCTCAAGCTTTTCAAAACACATATTTTTTATCCTATAAGATAAGTACTTGTGCAATTTAAAATAATAAATTCCCTAGGTGGGGCGTGCCACTCATTGTGGCACGTAATGGGCACCACCTAATTTGCTATGGTGGGCCCAAAAGTCCTATTGGCCTCCCATATAATTATATTATTTTTTATTTTTAGAAAAACATAAAATCATTATTTGAATATTTAAATCAATATAAAGTCAATATCTCTGTTTTTATAAATCCAAATTTAGTAAATATAATATCTAGAGATTTAGAAAAAATCAAATAGTAATTCTAAAAAGAATATATTATTAAAATATACAAAATTAAATACTTTGATAGGAAAAAGATTTATATGGTATAAGAATAAATGTACACTGGGGCACTTCACCTTTAACTGTGGATTACGGACCACAAATGCTTTCTCAAACTGACCCAGTGTTGCCCATGACCCACAATCCATGCAGAGGATCATTAGTGGGTCACTAAAGTCTAGCCAATGGGCAAAGGGTCGCAGTCCCAGCCTATGGATTTTAGGTTCCCCTTAGAGACAAAACTAAGGTCATCATAACCTGATGCAATCCATTGCTTGATGATGCATACGGGGTCTGTTTCACATATGCATAAGCTTCACCCTGAAAAGTAGTTCGCTTTACCAAAAAAGGCTATCAATATACATGCCATGTAATGACACTTGGATGAGACTTTGGCCCCATCTTTGAATGCTTTCATTACACATAAGGGTCATACAGTCCCTTGGTTCACTGTTCCGGACATACTCCGACCTCATCAAGTAATGACTCATCTAACCCGTATTGATTTGTATCTATATACCTAAGTAAAATGGGTTTTCCCCAACCAGATTGACTTAACATGTTAAGCACAGCCTAGTATCAACAAACATTATTTGCTTAGTATGGTCCACAGAAGACCACACTCCTACTGAGTTCATGTTCCACTATATAATTTCACTTACAAGCACTCATAACTTCTTTAATGGCCACACACACCCTACATGGGCGTGTAAACCTTGAAGAGAACTTGCACTTTACATAAAGCACCAATCACAGTGGTCGAGGACAAAATGGGTTATCTTTTATGCATACGCTCCACAACAAATTCAATAGCGGTCCAATGTTCAAAACCTCATATCCCCATAAATAATGGTCGCCCAAAGAGGTAGGAACAACACAGGAACGACTGGTGAACTGGTGCCTATTCTAGTCTACTTTAGTAAACGAATTGGGTTGGTATTTGAACCAGTTATTAACTGGTGAACCAGCTAGTCCAATCATAGACCGGTTGGTCGACTGGTTCACATTTGAACCGGCCAGTTCAAATTTGGGGAAAGAAAATAAGTTATCAGCACCTAATTTTAAAAAAAAATAGGTGGTCTTTTTTGTCCTATTAAAAATATGTGGGTAAAATAATAAATGGGTGTTGTTTGTATAGAGTAGAACGGACCTTCAAATAATGTCAAGAAATGTGGTTTCAATATTGAAAATCTTTGTGATAGCTTTAAAATATATTTTTATCTCTAATTATAAAATTTAAAGTTTAAAAAATAGTGTAGGACGAGCATGTCCATAAAACCTTGAAAATCTCAGTCGTCCAACTGACCGATGAAGGCATGGTTTGGTTACCAGTCGCATCTAACAACATTGATTTGATTTATTAAACATTGAACCTTCGAATGTCAAAAAAAGAAAAGAAAACAAAAAAAGTAGTTCAGCATTAAAAATATCAAACTAAGGGCAAAAGGAAAAAAAATTAAGAGAACAGGCCCACGTGGGAAAATATGGGAGTAAAAGGTTATTTCAATAATTTTACCAAGTAAGTAAAAATCTGAAATAAGATATAAAATATGGAAAACTATTTTAAATTTTTTATGAAAAGTTTCCATAAATATCCCTAGCAATAACATGAAAATAAAATTGGTGTTTCATGCGGTTCACTTCAATTTGAACTATAGTTAGCAGGACTATCAATAAATCGGCTCACTATAAAATCAGAAAGAAATCAGTTTATTTTAAAAAATCGGGCAAAAAATTTGGATCAGTAAAAGATCTTCATGTAAAGATATATCAGATTAGGCTCAAAAAATCGCATAAGGTTAAAATATTAGAAATTTTTAAATTCTAAAAAATAAAAATTATGTCAAAACCATCAATAACTAATCCATCCTCAAAAACTTTACTAGACTACTATAATTTAGTCAATTATTTAGATGTCTCATTACTCTCATCTATTCATTCTTAATGTTTTTCATTCTCTCACTTGGTATGTTTTGAGCTCTAATTTGTTCTTTAATTTGTATGTTTTTCATTCTCCTCTATGTTTTTCATTCTCTAATATGTTGTTCACACTATCTGATTCTCATTCATCAGTAAAAGAGTGTTTTGAGTTCTAATTTGTGCCATAAACAGTATTCACTAATTTGAGCTCTAATTTGTGCCATAAACAGTTATCACACTATCTGATTCTCATTCATCTCTAAAAGAGTACGTTTTGAGCTCTAATTTGTGCCATAAACAGTATTTATTAATTAGTAAAAGAATATGTTTTGAGCTCTAACTTGTGCCATAAACAGTATTTTCATAAAACAGTTATCACAATGCCATAACAGTATTTTCATAAAAGAATATATTTTTTGGAAATAGTACTTTTTGTGGAAAGCATGAAACTAGAAATGGCTGCAAAAAGAATACAAATTTTTTCGTCTCGTTTTAAAAAAATGGAAAGGCTTTTTATGTTTTCCTTACAATATAGAAGTTCTATCCTCTCCTTTATCCAACCGTTCATTTTTTAATGGAGGGTTATGATTGCCATGTCTCTACACATTATATTTTTAAGTTTTTTTTTATAAACTATTTTGATACCAAATTTTGGGCGTCTATTCCTTTATTAAATTCTCACCAACGAAAAATATATAAAAAAATATTTTTAATAATATAAAAAGACCAAAATACTTTTGAAAATTTCAAGAGGTATTTTGGTCATTATTTTTTATTGAAAAATTGTTGTTAATATTTTTCATAGGTGCACCCCAATGAGAAAATGACACGTACCAAATTTCACATTCATAAAATTTATATTAAAAAAATTAAAAATAAAATATTTTAAGATGTTGGATCTAAGATCATACGTAGAATAGCTCTTTCGATAAAAAACTGGACCGCTGAATAATAGGGGTGGATAGAACTTCTAGGAGAGCATAGGAAGCTTTTCCAAACAAAAATACATGTCAAAAAGGGGTACTTGTTTGTCTTCTATGAATGGTTTTATCAAAAAGTCGCATTTTAAGCGTGTTAATGGAAAATACGTGAATTTTTGCGGACCTTTTCAAAAAGTCGTATATTTAAACGTATCCACAAAGTCGCCGATGTTTTTAAAAAATGGCCGTTTAATCGGCGATTTGCTAACCATGATTTCAACTCAGCTGCTAGGGTTTTGGCTCGGTATCCTGTTCTGCTCCGAGGTCTCTATCTCTCTCTTAAACTCTTCTTCTCTCTCTCCTCACTGTTCTCTGTCTATTACATTGTTCTCTCTCTCTCTCGATATATATATCTTTCTGATTACTGGTTGTTGTCTAATGAAATGTTTCGTTCTCCTGCTTGGTACCCATATTGTCTTTATCATTTGTCTACTTTTTTCCTTTTTTTCTAGCTCGTATGATAATTAATAACTATTATTTGTGAGAAAAACGATTGTGTTTTTTGCAGATTAATATGGGTTTATGGGTTTTCTCTAAAAAACAGGGTTTATGGGTCGATTTTTCTTCTAAAATTTTATTGTAAAATTGGTTATTTTGGGCATTAAAATTGTGAAATTTTTGTGGATTGAATTCAGTTAAGTGGCCAGTTTTTAAATTTTTGTGGCTAATCATTTGTTTACTTTGCATGTTGGCAGATTGTGAAAGTTTTTGCAAATGAAATATATCTGTTTATCAAAAATTTTTCTAATATCATTGGGCTCTCTGCGATTACTTTATGTATTGAAACTTTTTTGAGTGTTTTTGGAGATCAAATATTGGTTTATGAATGATCATTTTGAATTATTTGAATATCAATTAATACCGTTGCATTATTTTTTGTACGTTCTATTACCTTCCATATTAAAACATTTTGAAAGGTTTATCTAATATAATTTCAGATTATGTGTTGATTTAGTAGCATATTAGCTACTTGAATATCAATCATGTTTCCTGATTTCATGTTCTGCAGAGAAAAACTAATAGTTAAATCACGCATAAGTTCATGAAGAATATCATCAAATTCCCATATAAACGCCTGCACCTCAATTTCACTCGATGTTTTTCATCAAAATTTCAACAATTCGGTCCACTCCCAACTCTTCCCCAACGACGCGTAGTTGTAACTGGTACATGTCGCCGTTCAATTCCGGAATTTCAGCATCTTCAATAATGGATTTCTTTTTACACTCGATTGATGGTGTGTAATTTTGCCCTAAATTTATTACAGGTTTGGGCATGGTCACGCCTCTAGGTTGTGGGGTAGAGAGGACATGGGGCCGCCTCGTTGGTGGTGAATGTGGAATCCGTTCTCTCTGTCTCAATGATCTTAAGATGGATGGGATTGAGAGAGAAACACTGGTTCATACTTTTGATCAGTTGGCGTCTAAAGTTGCAGCTGTTGTTCCATGTGGAAGCAATGTCGGCGAATTTGATGAAGAATGTTGGCTGAATCCTAAGGTAAGTCGCAATTACTTTGTCCATATCCTACCCCAACATGATATTGCTGTTATAGTTTGGTAAAAAACATAGTATTGTGATAATTTGGCACTACAATTGTTATATATTGGTTTATGCCGTAATATAGTTAAATGTCAACAAATGGCAGTGAAAGAAAGAAAAAGGTGGGGAATCAGGTTTGGCCAGGGAAGAGATGTGATTTTATAGTGTGGTGGACGATAGGGATTGCTAAAGTACCCATAGCATGGAGATACCCTCTTCAGTTCACATTTTAGCCATTCTATATGATATTTCTCCCTTTGCGCATTACCTTTGTCTGAGTCCAAACTTGTTTGGAACCTCACTGTTGTGATAATTTATGTGATATAACTGCTTCAATCTCGTTAAAATGAGAGAGAGTAGACTGAGATGGGCTGGCCATTTGTGGCGCCGACCAAGTACAACACTTGTTAGTTAAAGTGGAAGGACTGAAAAGAGCAAGGGGTAGGCCCAAAAGGACATAGTTGGAAGTAGTCCGAAAAAATATGGGGACTTATGGCCTATATGACCTATAATAGAGCAGAATGGAGAACCAGGATTTATGTAGCCAACCCCAATTGATTGGGAAAAGGCTAAAATGATGATGATGATGAACTGCTTCAATCTCTCTTGAGAGAACCCCTTTTAATCCTAGAATGAGATCTAGAGTTTCAAACATTGATTCATTCCAAAATCTTGTAGCGCCTCATCGTGGTAGTTTCTAGTTTGTTTTTGGTAAGAATGTCTGCTAATTGCTCTATAGCTATTTAAATTTACTTCAGTCTCTCTTGAGGTAATCCTTTGTCTTACTACATGAAGAATAAACTTTGGCTTACTGGGAATCAGTGGTGGACCTCGTCAAGGTCACATGCAGTTTATGTTCTGGTTAGCATGTCTGCTAACTGCTCTATGCTGGGAATGTAACACATGCTTATCAAGGGGGACCTTAGATTATAGTACTAGGTTATTGTGTAGGACTAATGACACTCTTATGTTCAGACAAAAAGGTGGCTGGTAATGCTGTGTGGACACCTGCACATGTGTGTGTGTTTATTTAGGGCAATCCATAACAGATAGCAGTGTTACATGTCTCAAGGTTCTCCTCAAGGCCTCTCAATGAAGTTGGCTTTGTGGTGCCATTAGTGTCATGCATTGGAATATGCCTATCAATATTTATTTAGTGTAACCTATTATTGAAATGTCGTATTGACACATACTGATAAAAAAGAAGACCTTGTGGTTGTCAACACCTTTTGAAGTTTTGAGTTCAGAAAATTATTTAAAACAAACACCTGAAAATTGCTATAATATAATTGTAGTAGCATCCTGTATGATCACTGAAATTCCTGCCATTTTTGTACTCGAAGTTCCATATTGATTTGTATTATTGCTTTGAGATAGGTGGTACCCGAATTCATATGAATTCTAGATTCTTGATAACCAGTGCCTTGTAGATCATTTATTTCATGTTTTTTAAATATCAGTCTATCAATTTTCTTATTGCATGGGATGTGGGATTTATTTATGGGGTCTTCCCTTTATGATTCTGCTGTGCTCCAGGAACAAAGATCCATTTCAAAGTTCATTGCCTATGCATTGTGTTCATCCGATGAGGCTCTTAGAGATGCAAACTGGATGCCAGAAGAGGAGGAGAAGAAGGAAAGGACGGTAAATACATTTGCATTTAGTCTATATGAAGAAAATTATGTCTTCAGGTGTTGGTGTTTATTCTCCTTCTAGATGTCTCACTTTCTTGGTAGTTTAGGGTGTTTCCATCGGTGGAGGTATTGGAAGCATCAGTGACATTTTGGATGCGGCAGTGATGATTCGTGAGAAGGTTAGCCATTTATCATCATATTTTTTTGGAGTGTTAGAGAAAACACAATGAATGCTATATGACCTCTGAAAAGCTACATCGCCTGCCAGCCATGTGTTTTGTGAAGGTGATATCCGTTTTGTGTAGGCTATGACTTTTTGGATGGTCATATTTTGTTTGTTGGGTTTCTTTAATGTTCCCCTTTTATTCTTTGTGCTATTTACCCTAACTTCGTAAGCATTGTGGTCACCAATATGTGAATGCTAGCTTCTCATTTGAAAGTATTATTGTTATTATGGAACTGGATGTACTCTCAATGTCTATGGATTATAACTTTTAGTTATTTGATGAGGCAGCGTTTGCGGAGGCTTAGTCCATTTTTCATTCCACGGATATTGATCAATATGGCAGCAGGCCACGTGAGCATGAAGTATGGGTTCAAGGTACTGCTGTTTGTTTTTTTTCAATGTGCAAAATTACATAATATTGAGCAATAAGACCCTGGATGTAAATGCTCACACTCATAAACTAGGGACCGAACCATTCTGCAGTCACAGCTTGTGCTACTGGTGCACATTCTATTGGGGATGCTGCAAGGATGATACAATTTGGAGATGCAGATGTAATGGTAGCTGGAGGAACTGAATCCAGTATTGATGCTCTATCGATAGCTGGATTTTGCAGGTAGCAATCATCATTCAAGAAATTGGTTTCTGTTTTATTCTCTTTGGTGATAATCCTCTTTAAATTTTCTTGAAGCTCTGCCATAGAGCATTTGTCACGATTAATAAAATGACTGGAATATTGTTATTCTTTATCTAAGGCAACCTAATCAACTGCTTGAGGTGTGGCCCTTGTGTTGTCCTGCTTGGCTTTGCTTTTGATGAGTCTAGGGGCTTACCTTCCAATAGTCACATTGGATTGTTTGTGTTCGCCTTTAACTCTATTGATAGATGGATGCTTTGTGTTTATTTGTGATAGATGTTTCTTTGTTACATGCATACTTATCTTTTAATATATAATACCAAAATTTAAGTTTTACGTGTGCATGTGATGCGAAAGGAATGTGAGAGTTAAATGCGCCCTTGACCCTTGAACAAGCAACAATCAGCCAACAAACATAGGAGAAAGAAAGCTCAAACTATTGGAGAGACAACATCCTCACACGGGATGTCCAAGAGTTCTTTTATACAAGCCATTCCAAAAACATAGAAAAAGAAAACCTTACATATCCCTTTCTCTCTCTAACTCACGCACCCTTCTCTAGATCCACTATTGTAGGAAATATCCCCTCTCTCTCTTACTCTTGTACGCCCACTAATTTTATTATTTTCTCTATCTTCCTCTACCACCCATGCAATTCCTCTATTTTAGGACTCAAAGAAATCACATACTCCTCTCTACTTCGTATAAAATTGGAACTACACATGAACCCCCATCTAAATCCTGAGTTCTATGCTTCTCTATGTGAGGGTCTCTTCTACCCTCTTTCTCTTTCTAACTTGCCAACAACTACAGCAACAAGATAGGATTTCAAAGCCACCAAAAGAGGAGTTCATGGAATCATGGAAAGTAGGACACTAGCACTTTAATACCGTGCTCCATAACAATAAATCAAAACCCAGTTTAATCTCACTATTGTTTTAATCCCAATTTACCCAATTACAGTATTTATAAGTCCATCCGTTAACACGAAATTAAACTAAAAGAATAAAATAGAAAGACTCACATTCAGCCTTTCAGTGTGTTTTCTTTTGTTTCTGAGTGTATGTCTGTGAAAGTCTATGCAACAGCTTGAATAGGGGCAGAGTTCGGAACAACTTGTCCTTGGTTAGGATAGTTGGTTAGTCAGGGATGTCCAGGAGCTGGTGAGGAGCTCATTCTTGGGGTGATGGATACATTTTGTGGAGTTTGAGGATCTAGTGTTACTTTATGGAATCAGGGGCTTTTGTGATTGCTATGATACGATAATTGCTGTGAGGAATCTGTTAATGTTTTAAGGTGGGCTCGCAACATATCACATTTTCATTTGGTGATACCAGGGATTAGTCTCTGATTATGTAGATCAAACATTGCATCATGCAAACCTTGGCTCTTTTGAGACCCTTAATTATTTAGCAGATTCCTTTACTGTTATCAGGTGGGGCGGCAAGCTAATAGTGCCTTCAGGGACTTGGTGATCCATGTTGGGGCACATTCTACTGAAATTATTTTTCATAATAGACACAAGTAGGCTTATAGGTGGGTCAAAAATATTGGTCAATGGTAGGGTCATTACCTCTGAGCATTGGCATTTGTTTCTCATCTTTGATATCCAATTCAAAGGCATGGTGTTACATTCTTATAAATAAATTATTATATCTAAGTAAAAAGGAAAGTAAAACAGATTGGACACTAACGTTATCTAAATTTAGGAGAGCTTAGGGCTTCCCAATGCAAGGCGAATTGATGTACCATGGTTTTTTTCATCATATTTATGATGTAAGTTGAATTCTTAGTGCAGTCTCATTCGTTGTAAATGTGCTCCTCCAATAAGCATGATACTTTTGTTTAAAATGAGTCCAGATACTTCAGTAAGCATGATACTTTTATACTGAAGATTTTTCTAACCATAAAACATATTAATTCAGACAAAATCCATGGGCATCCGCTGTGTGAGTAAATGACGTACCTGTAAATACAAATCTCAATCTGTGTTCCCCTTTTCCCTTGTTTTACTATGGTTCGGAGGGTTTTTAATCTTGAGTGTTATATACTTTGGGCAACATAATTAAAATCTATATTTGCATGCAGACTGAGAGTATTTTCCATAATTCCAATACAGATCTAGAGCATTGACTACAAAGTACAACGACCTCCCTCAGGAATCCTCACGACCATTTGACTGTGGGAGAGATGGATTCGTGTAAGTTCATATTCTATATGCCTTTTGTCTCTGTGTGTTTGTCTGCGTGCATGACCATGTGTCTGTGTATACGTAAGTGTACATTTTCACACGTATGCATACATACATTTTTGTTTGTGGAGGGTGTTGGTCGGTGATTTTTTACTTTTTTTAAATGGCTTTGTTTAAAATGGTGTTTTGACATATATTACATTGACAGTGTCATACCTCTACAGGATAGGTGAAGGTTCTGGAATCATGGTGTTGGAGGTGAGTTAGGACAAGGTTGGACACACAGAGTTTACATTTAGGCTACTTGCAACGCCTTGCTTACCCTTACTGGGATTACTCCATTTGAATATGCGATACTTCTTTTATAGTTTCCAAGCTGTACATGGCTGTGGTTTCCTTTATATCTCACTTACCTTGAAAAGACCTATACTTCAGCTCTTGCGTCACTAGTATAGCTGTTTACCTTGTTTTGGTACCAACCTTCACAGTTTTTATGTATAGACTTTGGTTCCTTAAGTTTCTAAGATGGTTAACATGGGAAAGTGTGGATGACTTTGTTTCACTTGGGACTAATGGAATTTTATTCTTTTCGGGATATATATACTAGTCAAGTATAGGCAAGTGTTTTACATTAAGCATCTAATAAGAAATATCATTTATTAAATTAGAAAATGTTAAAAACCATCAAATAAAAGCTCAATGCATATCTCAAACATCATTTAATATAAAACCATGAAAATAGGATCCAGATGGAGAAGCAACACTCAAAAACTCTCCCCTAAAACCATGAAAATAGAATCTTTCCATAACCTCTACATGGCCCCTTGCAGCTTTTGCTCTTCACTCATTTCTTTGTCTCCAAATCTAATCTGGAATCCTTTTAAAGATACGGATCCATCCTAAAATATCCACCTCATTGGAGACACAAGAAATCTCTTTAAATACATTACCTAGAAAATAGGAAGGTGGGAATCCAACCTAACTCATGTCACGCAATTAGATATTAGATCCCACAAAACTGTCCCTAACGTGTGTTGCCCTTGATGCTTTCTTAATATGGTCCCTATTCTCGACTTACTCTGAATAGGTCACTCTTCTAATCGAGCAACATGTGTACTACTCTTTGTTAAGTGGCTTCATATATGCAGGATACATAAACACATGCACACACAGCCGCAATCACGCATGCGCACACGCACAAACACACACACAAACAAACACATGCACACAAACAAACACAAGTCGGCTTGTGGAATGCATTGGTGCAACCATTCAAATTATAAATGAATCTTTAAATTTCATGTGTTAAACTGATGCAATTTGTTTTAAAATAACGGTTTTTTTTTTTTTTTCAAACTACGAAAAAAGGAAGTATCATATGAATATTCCTTATTTCATAAGAAATTAGAAAATCCAGGGATTCAAGAAAAGCTTTGAGAATTTATTAAAACAGTGATTATTTAGACTGCTGTCTACGGATATATTGTTTTTTGTTTACTTTATATTAGATTGGCAATTCATTTACATAAAAAAATTCCTAAAATGTCATTTAGTTTTTTAAAATAACAAGAATTAAAAATGAAAAAAATTAACTTAATCCTATTTATGTATGGAATCCTTATTTATTAGGCCTTATATAAGCGTCTACATGCCCTTAATATTCCCTTCTTTTATATTAGCTAATGTTTTTAAACCATAAAAGTTTGTAATTAAAATGGAAAATCAAGAAAGCATGTTATATCTTTGTTTTTAAAGCAAAAAAATGTAAAACTATAAACAATAAAAATTTATCTTAATCCTATTAGTGTATGGAAACCCTATTTGTTAAAATCAATGTTAAAAAGTACGGAGGCGGTCGCCTAGGCGGTTTGGTCTCTGGGCTGCCTAGGTGGGCGCCTACAGACAAAGGCGGCCTGCCTTTTGGGGAAGTGCAGATCCTTGCGGATTTCTGGCCTCCCCACACCTCCCCCCATTTCATTGTATATAGAAATGACTTTTTTTTTATATAATAAGTAATTTTGGTATATAATATATTGTTCAGAACGCAAAAAAGTCAGAAGTACAGATCAAACATAAACATTTACTACTTTAGACTGCAAATTAAATAGTTAAAACTCAAAAGCAACATTAAAAAAATAAAAAAAAGAGGTAAAAAGAACATTCATTTGATTTGGGGCCAATGGACTTTATTATTGAATTGCTTTCCCAAAGACCCAAACTATATATCAAAATGGGAAAATAATAATGCAATTAGTCAATAATATATCACATATATATCATAAAGTATATAAAAAAAAAATACAAATAGCAAATACTAACATCTTAAGACATTGTGAAAAAACAAATACATAACTTAATGAAAACTACTGAAATATACCAACCTTCTTGAAGTGGAATCAATACCGACCAAATTCAAATGTTTTGGTTCTCAAATCTCCTCTTTTACAATCACTAAAAGCCTAAAAAAGATTGGGGATGAATATCCTTTAATTTCGTGACCATTCGAGGAGGTCGAAAAATATTTCGATCTCTCTACAAAATTTCAAAATCTTGTTTTCTTCAAGTTTTTTCTTACTCTAAACTTCACCAACAATGTTTTTGGGAGTAAGAATGGCCCCCAAAACCATTTTCCCCACCTTCTTTAGGGTGTGAAATGACGGTTTTATCCATGGCCAGAGGTTTTTTTTCCACCATTGGGCAAGGCGGCACCTAGGAGGGCGCCTTGACGGACCCACCTTAAGCAGGCCGCCTAGTCCACAACTGGGCATATTTGAAAAAATGGCGCCTAGGCAGCGAGGTGGCCGTTTTTTTGTTCATTGGTTAAAATTATTTAAAGAAAGATTCCCAGCCCAGTTCTCCAAGCCCCTTAAATCTATTTGTACAGGGACTCTCTATCTAATAGGATAAGACATGCCCACTGATTAGATCAAATCAATTGAAATGGAAGGCTATGATTGCCTGACGATGACTGACAAACTGACAGTACAAGAGATTTAGTAGACATGTATATGTGTGTGCACGCGTATGCTTGTGCTAATAGAAAGTTTCCCTGCTAATGTAATGTTATGACTTTGGTTACCCTCAAGTTTGTATTGTGTACAATGTGTGCAAATTTTCATCTAAGAAGTAAAAGGATGATTTTAGCAACTTCTCATTTTCTTAGATGGTACAAGATCCTGTAGTGTCCTACGCTTAAACTTCCCCTTCGTCGGTGTCTTTGGAGCAGAACCTACATCCTGGGGCTTTGAGTACCAGAGTTATTTGTTCTTCCCCTGAGTTAATGTTTTTTAAGAAAGAAGTCTGATTTAATATGATTTTTTGTTAAGTTACAGGTGCAGAACATTTCATGAATTGGAATCACCTTATTTGCAGATTTGATGGGTTTCTCATCTACAAAACTTTTACTCTAGATATGATCCATCTTTTGCACTGAGCTGTCAGAGTAACATTATAAGACGAACAATTCCCTGAATTGTCACCTTGATGGGGCTTATTATTCATGAGAACCTATCAACTCTAGACTCGAGTTCCAAGAGGTATCCCACCAATAAAAAATAAAGGTAGTATCCCATAATTCTACAACCACATTATATCTACAAATATGAATATTCCACTCTCATTTTTCATGCTTAATCTCTAACAACCAATTTTAATGAGGACTTTTAACATTTAGTTTGCTGCTTGGAGTCCTAAGTGAAGGTGTGGATGAAAGGATATACATTCTTGAACTTAACTTTGAAAGCATGAGAAAGTGTCAGCTTTCAGTGACTGAAATTCTTACATCGTATGCAGTTATAAAGGGCTTCAAGTAGTGAGGATCCTTGACGGTAATGATGCAAAAATGACCAAAGATCTTTGATACGTATTCACTATACTTGTACGATTAGGGTAGGTCTTCTAGGTTCTGTTTAAATTTACAATTCCATCCACATGCTCACCGAGAAGCCGACCATGGTTCATTTTGTATTTCGAGCATTATTTCTCATTTTTATTTTATTATGCTAACTGGACTACGTATTGCATGTTCTACTTAAATATCTATGCCTGTAGGTATAATTACATCAAAATTTGATGTATGGAATTACAAAAAATGCCTACAGGTGCATTCCACGTCAATTGATAAACATACATGAAATGACCACCCGAATTACACCCACTCTTTACACACACTATCTTCTTTTGGTGAATCATTTACCCTTTTTTTTTTCTTTTGTTGAATTAACATGCACAGATACATAATGTCATGTTTTATGTTCTATGAACTCTTTATGTTTTCAGAGTATTTATAATCTATTTCAAAAAAAGTTATCCTTGCTACCCTTTTTAAGCTGCTCACCTTGCTTCTCAAATTTAAGGGCATGTCCTTTGCTAACATGTTGTTTCATTATTCATATTACTATGTAGTATGTACTTCATAAATAACAAAGAAAGCTTGCACACTTCCGACCCGTTCATCAAAAAACTTGTATGTGTAAACTAGTCCAAGATAACATAACTTGTGGAATAAAATACTGCAGGCTTTGTGCCCCCTGTCATGTTTATGTCAAAGCTACTATTAACACTGTTAGCCTCCCTTATCATGTCGTTTTTATGTGAAATGAAGGAACTTGAACATGCAAGGAAGCGGGAAGCAAAAATATATGCTGAACTTCGAGGCTATGGGATGTCAGGTTGTCTTTCTGGTCACTACAAATTTAATGTCCTTTATTTACATCTTTTGTTCATCCATAAATGACAATTACCATTTTACTAGGTGACGCACATCATATAACACAGCCACATAGTGATGGGAAAGGTGCTGCTTTGGCTATGAAACGTGCAATTGAACAGGTGTGCAGTTGTATTTGCTTGTTGCATTTATTTTGATATAGATAAAGGATGACATCCCTGCTTTCAGTGGCAGGAGGATATGTTTATTTTAATGATATTTAGATTGTAGTCTTTCCGAACTCAAGTCACTCTAAAAGATTTCTATCACCTTTTTCTGATTTTTCTTTTCTAAATATTTGTTTGGGTTTGTTTACAATGAGTGCGGTGAAGGTTCTGTAAGAAACTTCAGATCACTCTACTTTCAGGCGACAGTAGCAGGTCTCTGGGGTATTTCATTGCTCTGTTCAAGGTCCATCAAACATTCTTGATATACTTTGAGAGGAGGAAAGACATACTCCAGTCATCCCTTGTCGACATTTGAAGGTTAGGGTGATGTGAAGTTTCCAGCAGAACCTTCATTGTGCTCATTAAGTAAATTTCTTTACTTTGTAGTTCCCCGTTTCTCAAAGTCAGTGAGATCTGGAAATTGTTTGAATTGTGTTGTTCACTGTTTTGTCAAGTAGGGACATCATCTGTTACACCTCTAGCACCAAAGCTCTCGCAATTCGGTGACATTAATTAAATCCTTATCGCAAGACATTTTGAAAACATCCTTGCTTAAATGGGTTGGTTCTTTTTTGTTGTGTTCATAGTTGTGGGGAATAGGGTGATCAGTCATTTGGACTGAAACCCCTTAGGAATTCCAAAATATTGCCTACATGGCTATACAATTCTAGCAACCAAATCTTTCTCATAGTTTGGGGACGAGAATAAGCATAATACCATATCCTTATCACCATATGAACACTTTCAGAACATCCTTGCCAGGGCTTCCTATCCCCCATTCTCCTCACCTAGCTCCATCCTTAAGTGCTTGCGCAATCTACAAATCTTCCGGCACCTTTAGCTACAAGGCTAATTTTTTTCAACTAACTCCTCTACTTCTCTGAATCCACTGACCAAGGAAAAGACCGCATTTCTTTAATTGATCTGTGTGGATGTGTATAAACTTAGAAACATTGAAAAGCCTAAGATTTATTGTTAGTCCAAAAGAATATACACTAATGCCCATGGCTTTAGACTATGAAGTACAAACTTCTATGCCTCTCATGAAACTCTAGGTAAAATCCTCTCAATATATATATATTAAAATGACTCCATTGAAAGAGACCATAATGCTTTTAAGAGTCTTAGAGAGTTATGCATGCTAATCCTTTGTATGCGCCCCCCCCCCCCTTTTGTCAAGTAACATGATTTTATTAGATCAGAGTGAGAGGATTATAAACCTAGAGAGGACAATCATCAACAAAGTAAAGAAAGTGTTAAAATCCTTTATTATATAAATTTTGGACCTAAGTGTCCAATTATATTTATACGGGCAGTTGTCCATATCATAAATTTTTATAAAATATAAGGCTGAGAGGTGCATGAGGATGGGTTGAACCTCACCTCTTTCTCTTTCCTCATGTTTTTCATATTTCTCTCTTCTCTCTTCTCTTTTCTCTCTTCTTCTCTTTCTTTTTCTCTTTTCTCTCTATATTTCTAGCATGGTATCAGATCTGATCCTTTATGTTTCTTGAATCCTTCCTTTCTTTAATTCTTTATCTTTTCATCTTCTCCTTTTCTTTCATCTTTGCTTTTTTCAGCCCTTCCCTTTAAAATAAAAAGAAAAAATGGAGAGAGAGAAATCGTGATCTTCCCCTTTCTTCCTTTTTTTTTAAATAATAGAACTACAGTAGCGTGCTACAATATTGTGCAACAGTAACATGCTACAGTATGTTCTATAGTAACATGCTACAATTCATCTGTACGGATCAAGATCATGACCTAGTTTCAATGTTGGCGACATGGTGATGCTTAGATATGTTCAATGTGGTGTTCAAGTGTGAGGATATGACCAGATCTGAATGATAAGTATCTCTCCCCTTTTTAGGCTGTTTTTACATTGTACTAGCCTTGTGTGAGTTATTTGAAATTGGCGAACCTTGGTTGTTGTTCTCCTTTATCTTTTATGCTCATAGAAAGTAAACCTGGAATCCTTAGTTTTCCTGAAACTCAGGGGGTACAAATCACCTCTATAAAACTAAATGAGTCCAATTATGTTGTATGGGCTTAATCTTAATCTATCAAAGTATCCCTGGGTGCAAGGGGAAAACTGAACTATTTGACTGAGGACAATCCTAGTAATTCTTTTAGTACTTATGGAGAGTGGATGAGAGAAAATTACATAATCATGACCTAGTTGTGTTGTAGAATGGAACCCCAAATAAGTGCCATGTGATGTTTCTTGATACAACTAAGGAAATTTGGGACACTTTATAAAGAAACATATTCATTAGATAAAAATATTCCCTGGGGGTATGAGTTGTTTGAGAAAATGTTTCAATTGCAACTAGGTAATAAGAGTGTGAGTGAGTATTACAATACCCTCAGGGGTATGTGGGAAGACTTGAATCTATATTAACCTAGATCTGGTGATGTGGAATTACAGAAGAGGTAGCGTGACGAATTTAGGATTGCCAAATTTTTTCTAGCCTAATCTGAATACTATTATGTACATGGACGGATCTTCGCAAGCACTGAACTCCCATCTATCACTAATGTTTAGTTGCGCATTCAACAAGTCAATATATTTGCTTCCCCCTCACCTTCTGACTTAAGTATTAGTGATGGATCAATATTGAATACGATTGTAGGGAGAGGTGATGGATCAAGAGGTTAGGGACGTGGTCGTGACTCTTGAAGTGGCTGATGTAAAGGTGATGATGGCAGGGGTCGAGGAACTCCCAAGTGCATAAATTGTGGGCTACAAATCATATAGTTGCTAAGTGTCAAGACAAGGTTGGTAAACCTGCTTGGGCAAACCAGGTTACTTACACGTCTGAGAGTGATGAGCCTTATTTAAGTAGACTCAGTGATTATCAACAACAGTCAGATTCTGCTGGTGACTCTGTTGTGCTTTCCAAAGAAGAATATAATAAACTTGTTCAACAAGTACAACAGTCTATGATTCCCTCTTCCTCTTCTATTACCACTCTTGCAAATTCCAGTACTTAATGTGCTTCTTGCCTCTTAGGAACTTGCTCCCTGGGTTGTTGACTTAGGAGTATCTAATCGCATGACTGGTGAGTCTTTTGTTTTTGTATCTCTAAATAAGTGCATTCCTAAGTCTTCTATTACCCTGACTAATGGATCGTTGTCCAGTGTCAGGGCAGGGTACATATATGCCTACTTCTTCCCTTTCTCTGCCATCTGTACTATATGTCCCAAAGTTTTGCTTCAGTTTATTATCTGTGAGAAAGTTGACCAATTCTCTTCATTACTTTGTAACCTTTTATCCTTCTTCTTGTGTCTTTTAGGATCTCAAGACGAAGAGGGCGATTGATGGCGGGTATGACTTGGGTGGCCTATACTACTTGGATCATAACCTCATTTGTGCTGCTCTTCACTCTACTAATTCTCCTTATGGCAATATTGGCTAGGTCATCCTTCTCTCAAGAACTTTCAGTTGTTAGTCCCTTCTTTAGAGTCTATGTCTGCTTTAGAGTGTGAAGCTTGTCAGTTAGGAAAGCATCATAAGGTGTCATTTTGTCCTAGAGTTGACAAACAGAAACTTGTTTTGTTTACTGTGGTTCATTTTGATATATAGTTTCTAGCTAGAGTACAAAGTTTGTCTGGTCACAAGTGTTTTATCACTTTCATGGATGATTATTTACAAATGATATGGTTATATTTAATGGGGAAAATATCCCTGTTGATCCTATTTTTAAGTTTCATTTCTTCATAAATCCAAGATTTCAAAACTTATCTTGGAGAATAGAGATTCTATCAATTATATCTTCTAATCCCCTAGACCAATTTTAACCTTTTTTATTTTATTTTTTTTAGCCCAAACATATTTAAAAAAGATATTTTTTTTAACCCTCTCTCAAGGCGTTTCACTTTCTCTCTCCTAGTGAATCTCCAAACCCCTTTTCTCTCTCTTGTACTTCCCCTAACTCTCTCTCTCCCCCCGTGAATCTCCAAACCCCTTTGTCTCTCCTGTACTTCCCCCAACTCTTCGGGGTAAGTCTTCTTCCTCTATGCCCATTGCAACATGGACCAGCAGAGCTCATTCCACCATTTTGGCCTCTTTTGAGATGCAAGAGAAGGGCTCTCCATCGATTCAGCCAATGCTCTTCTTCCATGACCTAAATTACAGTTTATTAGAACCACATTGGAGAAATCTAAAACTTCCATGAATGCTTGTATTGCATCTGCAAAAGCAAGTTCAGCACTTTGCAAATCTTTGTTGTCAAGCCTGTAACGACTAAGTTCATTGCATACCCATCCTTCCTTCTTAACAATGGACTCCTTATCTGAACAAATAGTAGAAACTTCACTGATTGGTTTCACTGCAGCATTATAGCAGTATATGGATCTTGAGAGAAAATATTCCATATCCCCTTCTTCGGGTACTTCTAAGAAAGAGAAAATATCTCCCATGTTTCTCCTTAATCACTTCAGGAGCTTTTGATCCAGATCCAATAGAAGACCCAGAATCAGCAGGGTGAAATGCAACTTTCATATCATCTGATGCTGGCAGAGAATAACTAGACTTTTGCACACAAGTTTTGCTCATTCCCACAGTTCCAAATTCAGGGCCACATGAAGCTTTCAATTTGATTTCCTCCTCACAATCGTGTTTTAAAGCTAAGTTACCTAAATGCAATGAGCGCTTTGCATTTGGTTTCTTGCTCTGGTTCCTTCCATATGCAATTGAGTTCCCACGGGGCGAGAGAGAGAGAGAGAGAGAGAGAGAGAGAGAGAGGAGAGAGAGGTTAGGGAAGTAGGGGAGCGTAGGTGGGGTTTGGGGATTTATGTAGGAGAGAGAAAGATAAATGCGTGAAGAGGGAGAGGGAGCTTTAGATTTTAGAAAGAATGTCTTTTTTAAATTTGTTTGGACTAAAAAGATGGGTAAAATTGGTTAGGGGGTTTGGGAGATAGGTTTTGAAACCTTGAGTCTATGGAGAAATGAACCC